AAAATCTGAGGAGAAACTGGCTTGGTGAAGAGATCTGCTACTTGTTCCTTGCTTTGTATATGTTGAAGAGTGATTGTGCCAGCAGCTATCTTCTCTCTTATAAGGTGGCAATCCAATTGGATGTGTTTAGTTCTTTCATGAAAAACAAGATTATTTGCAATAGCAATGGCTGAGCTACTATCTGAAAAAATTGTAACAGGAGTTGTGTGAGGTATATTCAGATCAGACATTAAATACAATAACCATTGCACCTCACAAGAAGTTGTGGCTAAGGCCCTATACTCTGCTTCTGCAGAGGACCTACTAATGGTATTTTGTTTCTTTGATTTCCAAGAAATGAGGGATTTTCCCAAGTAAACTGAATCTCCTGTTATACTTTTTCTAGTATCCAAGCAACTTGCCCAATCACTATCACTATAAGCTGAAAGCTGTAAAGAGGAGTCTCTAGAAAAGAAAATACCTTGGCCCACTGTTCCTTTGACATACCTGAGAATCCTGTGTGCAGCAGCAAGGTGTTGTGTAGTTGGTTGTGACATAAATTGACTAAGTGCTTGAACACTATAACTGATATCAGGTCTGGAGATTGTTAAATAGAGTAATCTACCAACAAGTCTCCTATACTCAGTTGCATCAATGAAATCAAAAGAATCAGAAGCATTTGTAAGTTTCAAAGAAGAACTCATGGGGGTGGGGGCAGGTTTGCATGCAAGAAATCCTGTGTCTTTAAGTATTTCTAAAGCATACTTTCTCTGACACATGTTTATACCTTTAGATGAATGGGCAAACTCTAATCCCAAAATATATTTGAGTTCACCAAGGTCTTTGATGGTAAAGCAGTTATGAAGATGCTGTTTTATATGATTAATAGCAGATAAATCATTACCACAGAGTATAACATCATCAACATAAACCAACAATGCTAAAAATGATGAACTTTCTGAATTAAAAAGAGTGAACAGAGAGCAGTCAGCAATTGACTGTTTAAAACCATAATCAAGCAAGCAATTGGTTAATTTTTGAAACCATTGTCTTGATGCCTGTTTGAGGCCATATAAACTCTTATTAAGCTTACACACTCTCTTATCTGAAGGTAAACAGTAGTCAGGAGGAGGTTTCATATAAACCTCCTCATCTAGGTCACCATGTAAAAAGGCATTGTTGACATCAAGTTGATGTGTATGCCAATGTTTTATGGATGCAAGTGCAATAAGAAATCTAACAGTTGAAATTTTGGCAACAGGAGAAAAAGTTTCAAAATAATCTATGCCCTCTTCTTGAGTATAACCCTTGGCAACTAATCTAGCTTTATACCTCTCAATAGACCCATCGGACTTATATTTTAAAAACCCATTTGCACCCTATGCAATGTTTGTCTTTGGGTAAATCAGTGAGTTGCCAAGTGTTAGTTTGTTCTAGGGCATCTAACTCTTTTTTCATTGTTGTTTGCCATAAGGGATTAGTAGAAGCTTCTGAATAGCTTTTTGGTTCAGAATGACAAGTTATAGATGCAGTAAAACATGAATGTTTATCAGATAGTTGTGCAGTAGAAAGATAAGAAGATATAGGATACTTGGTAGATGTTTCAAGTGTGCTGAGGGTTGTGTTAGAAGAATGAGAGGAGAGGTTTGGGAGAGAATGTTTGTATATATCCAGGTAAGAGGGAGGTTTGGAAATCCTGGTAGATTTTCTTCTTGGGGGTGAGTTATGTGGTTGTGCTGAAGTAGAGGGTTGTTGAGGAGAAGGATTTGTTATATTGTTTTGCTGAGTTTGAGGGGATGGACTTGATGGTGGAGATCTGATTGGTGGATTTTGTGTTGAATTGGACTGATGGGAATTATGATTTAGTGGTAAGTTCTCTGTGTAACTGAAGGTGGTGGTTTGGGAAACAATGAGTCTGATGTGGGATGTTGTATATCAACAGGGGTTTTGAAAGGTAACACATCCTCATAGAATTGCACATGCCTTGAAATTAATATTTTCTTAGTATCTAGGTTATAAAGTTTGTATCCTTTATAACCCAATGGATACCCAAGAAGTATACACTTAGAAGCTCTTTGATCAAATTTTGATCTATTGACTTGTAAAGTAGAAGCATAACAGAGGCAACCAATTACCTTAAGATGATCATAGGTAGGTTTCTTGCTGTAAAGTAACTCATATGGTGTTTTATTTTGTAAAACAGGAGTAGGAACTCTGTTAATCAAATGAGTGGCAGCTAATATGCAATCAATCCAAAAACAGATAGGCAAATTTGCATGAAAGAGAATGGCTCTAGCAACTTGTAATAAATGTTGATGCTTTCTTTCAACTCTACCATTCTGTTGAGGAGTCTCAACACAATTAGTTTGATGCAAAATGCCATTGTTTTTATAAAAGTCATGAAGAAGAAATTCTGTACCATTGTCAGATCTAATGACTTTTATTTTCTTATCAAATTGAGTAAATGCCATGTTATAAAAATGAAGCAAGCAGTGCTGAGTATCAGATTTCAGTTTTAAAGGATATACCCAAGTAACTCGGCTGAAATCATCAACTATAGTAAGAAAATATTTACAACCATCATGAGATGCAATAGAGAAGGG